GTGTATTCCCACAGGTAGCTTGAAAAATATTCTGAACTGAGGCAGCCAGGTTTCTCTGTCAGTCCTTAAATCAGTGGAAACATTTCACTGCAACACAAAGACAGGAAGAAAACTAAAACTTAGAGCAGCTTTTTTTGTTTGTTTTTTAAGGAAGTAAAGAATGGAGCTCAAAAAGGAAATGAAGCATTCATTATATTGTGTTTGTTATGAAGTACAGAGGACCTGTAATAACCTTAACCAGGCCTTCTCCACCTCCAAAAGGCTTCAGGCAGGTTAACTACGCTAATGCTGAGCCAGTGCAACATACTTGGATTCCTGCCTCCTTACTTTGAACTGCATCTCTGCAAGGCCACATTACAGAAGCTAGTTTTGCTAAACACCTGAAGTAAATGTACATTGACTTTCTGTAGCATTCAGTTTGTTGGCATTGGATAGCGTCTACGGCAGCATAACAAAAGATTTGTTCGTCTTTATGGCAGTTCTGCAAAACTCAAAGCCATCAACAGTAGGGAAAATGTGAGCAGGCCACTATGCTTCTCCTGTGTTGGTTGAAAAGTTGTAACTCTGATATCAGTGACAGATATTTAGCTATGCTAGCCAGATGTTGGGTCCTGAGTCAGCACTGAAATATCCACAGATATTCGTGCTGGCAGGAGCATGAACTGATATAACTCTCTGTAATTCCATGACGCTTGGGTCCAGTGCCACAAGGTTGTTTGCCTTGAACAGCTGCATTTCCAGTGATTTTAAATGTGGTTTCACAGAGGAAGCCAAGGGCCAGTGTGACCATGAGAAACACCAAATCAAACCACTTGGAAACCAGAAATTCAGCAACTGGTGATTTTAGGTTAGGACAGAGGCCGGCAACCTATGGCTCGTGAACCACGGATTAGATTTATGGTTAACTGTAACCCTATTAATACATGTCCTATATTTATTAATTTATCATCTCCCAACTACATCTGTCATCTGCCCATCTGTCCCCGTCACCCCCTGCCACCAGCGTGTGCTGCTCGTTTTTTTCTGTTGGTTGGTAGGAGGAGCTAAAATGGGTCTTTTGATGTTGAAGGTTGCCCATGCCTGGACTAGGAAATGATAGGCAGTGGATCAAACCACTTTGAGATGCAATGCTTTGGTGTTTAACCAATTTTGCCATCGCATGGCGACTCTGGTCCCCATTACACTGTGTTCAAATAGTAGTGTTCATGTTGCCATTTGTTTTCCTCTTTTGTGGAATTTGAGCGCGCTAGTGAGTCAGCCAATGCAGAACTGAGGAAATGGCATAAAAGGCTAAAGGGAAATATTGTGTATTATTATAAGTGGCAGTAGTAGGAAGCTAACATTAGCATGTTTTGCAATCACTGTACCATAGTACAGTGATGCACCCTGCTAACAACGCACTGTAAAAACTCTGAATCTCAAGTTGTTTTTCATTTTGTTTTCTTTGTTCTGTTTAAATGTACGTTATGAGGTTAATGCATTAAAAACAGGCTTTTATTATTTGGCCTGTTGAAACCCATTTTAATACATGTGATACTCTGAGTATAACTATTATTTATATGGATATAAGACATCAGAAGCATTCATTACTTTAATTTAATTAAGTTTGTTTACATTTTTAGTGACAAATATCACAAAAAAGTTTTGATCACAAGACTTCTTCAGTCTCAGCTGACTGCAGGTTTCCCCAACCATATAAACAGTACATGTGCATAATGACCAAAACCAGCACCACTGACGAGTGCTGGTTTATATGGTTAGGGAAGATGACCGGGACTGATGAAGGTCGCTTCAGGGACTGAGAAGTGAAGCAAACACAGAAGACTGCTCAGGTTGCAAGAAGTCACAGCCTCTCACATGTTCGTGGTGAGTTATCGGTCTTGTGGCTAGTTTCAAGTTTTACTGGCTAGAATGTGGGGCTCATTTTGTAGACAGCGGTCCCAATTAGATTAAAAATGGAGGGTAAAGCAGAGCACGCTTTGG